TATGTTTCAATTAGTGAAGCCCAAAGTCCTCTGTAACACCCAGCTTTTAGCATCCAAACATAAATATAGATCAAAACCACTGAAATAAGTTCTGAATTCGCCAGAGGAACAGTAAGAATTTCTCTGCCATTGAAAGCTCACTTCTAAATCTGAGTCTACCAGAAATTACGGGAATTGGACTTTTTTCTTTAAAAGGGAACTGGCGAGGGGGATAAAACAGGAAACGTGGTTACTGGGGGGAAACATCTCTGCTCTCATGAGTAGAAAGGAGTATATTACAACTGTCAACAGGAAGAACTGAAAATAAATGCGAATTACTTGTTTGGTTCAAAGCCCAACTATAATAGATTCTTGTGGTTGAGCATCTGACTGGCAAAGTGCCTGCAAACTTCCAGTAAGTGACTCTTTGTCCCCAAGCCGTGAATGACCTTTTGATTTTCTTTTAGAGGCAACTCATAAGCAAACAGACCTCCCCCAGAGTACCACATGATATTAAATATTTCCCAGTTTTGTAAGGGAAACTTTTCACAGGACCAGGAAAAATGGAAAAGCTGATTTGCATACTGTATATGTGTGTGTTCCAAACATGTAAAATCTCTGAATACATTTTAACTTCAGATCAATCACTACTACGAAAAGTAATCTTCACATAGCCTTCACCCCCAAACAATATTTGTGTAGAAAAAAAAATGAGTCGGAAAGCTAAGGTCGACTTATACTATTTAGGAAACGAGTAACATAGCAAAATGTCAGTGTGGCAAGAGCATTACGATGAAGCCTGTCACAGCTGATTGAAATGGGGTGGGGTGTATTCCTCTCTTCAGTGCTGTTGAAAAACATCCAGAAAAACAGACGTGCACTTTGTTTTGATAAAGTCTTAAGAATGGAGAGCTATTTTGACACTTGGGCCTGTGTAAGATGGATATCGAAAGGTGATGAATCACAGATTAGAATCTCTGTTAAATATTGTCAGACAAGTGTCCTAGAAATGGTGTCCACACTCCAATTCAATTTACTTTGGGGTTTAGGCAAATCTGCCTGAGACCAGTCCAGGACTCTTTTGGCTGTACCGGAGAAGAGGCTGCAGCCGCATTTTGCTGACCGACCTTGTCCCCTGCTGGCCTCTCTCAGAGAACAGTCTATATCTCTGCTTTTAATCCCCATGGTTTTCAGTGCCTCACAACTTAGCTGCTGTTAAAGTGACATATTTCTTAAGATCCTCCCAGTCACACCAGTTCTGTTGGTTTGGGGCAGAGTTCATATCGGTGCTCTGCTCTTTTTCCATGGATTTCTACATCCTGAAGACTCCGAGTCATATTCATTTTTTTCCTGTTTTGTTCTAAAATAATGTAGCAATTAGCAGGAAATAATAAAGTAATGGCATCTGTAGCGAACAATTAGCAGGTAAAAGAAATGGGAAGCGTGCGGCATGCCTGTGATTTCGTTGCACCACAAGTGGCTCGTTTGTAATTAGTAATTGCTTTATTCTCAGCTTGCCTGTTCTATCAGGGTCGGTTTGAATGGGGCATGAAACACTACCTCCATCAATTTTCAATGTAGATTCTGCCTCCTTTGGGAATTCTGGTGTTTATACAATCAAGGGTATTTTAAGTTGTCAATATATAGGGGTCACTTAGATGGTTGTTATAGATGCCCTTAGTCAATTCAGAGGAAGATGGCTCTGTAACCACCAACGCCTGTTCCTTCTGCCCAAACTGGGCCACCAGAACCACCACCAAGTGGCTGTGCTCTCTGACTGTGGCTCCCAGGCTTCATCTATGCAGCTGCCCAATGCAGAGGTCTGGCACTACCATGGTATCACCTGGAAACAGACATTTCCATGTTTCTGTTTCATGGTATCAAGAAGCCCCACTGCCTCTGAGGATGGATGCTCTCTTCACCTCCAACCTTACAGGTTGCCAGGGACTCACAGTAGCTTACCTGTACCAGAACACACTAGCATGCTGGTTACAAAATACAGATGCCTCAGTTCCCAGCTCCCAATCAGACTCATAGAAGAGAGGCCAGGAATTTACAAGGCACCTAGTGTCTCCATATATAACTATTCATTTTAAAATTTAGGAAACATTAGGCTAGAGCCCTAGACTTTTGGAAAATCAGGTCTTTAAGTTCTATTTCAGAGCCCCTAAACAGCTTTGTTTTGTCTTGAAGCCTGGAAAGAAAAATATATCTGACTCTTGCTGGTGAGCTCACAGCTCAGGAAACGACAAAATTTACTTTTCACTCATATTATCCTGCCCTGTGATGGTTAAGTAGAAAATGGTAAAGTACTAAACACTGCTGGAATACAAATAGCCAACACACACACACACACACACACACACACACACACACATTAAGATCATTAGCCCAAGTATAAGCAGTTTTTATTCAATTAGACAAGGTCTTAGTGTGGAGGGACTTGTGAAGACTAAGATTAAGTGGGTCCCTCTAAATGACTGCATGGCATCACTCATAAATAGATCCCACTGAGCTACCAAAACCTTGAATGACGGTCAGTATGTAAGAATCAACTTAAGTCCTAATATCAAGTTTCTTTTTCCTTCTCTCACCACCCCCATTCTATTTATTATGTTGATAGGTTTAGGAAAGTTTTAAGAAACTGTTAATTGGCATTAACCAGAGTATAGGCAGTGTTAATAGTGAAGATCTAAACCTAAAGGTAACTTTTTAATTTCATTTTTATGTTTTAATTGATTTTTTTGCAAATTTCATACATCTTGATCATATTTAGACCCCTCCCATCTGTACTCCCATGCCCCTCTGCCAGATTTCATGCATTCTGTCGTATATGTTAAGGCCTATCAAGTCAAGTTTGTGTCCCCAAGTGTCCTTTGGTGTGTATCCATCCACTGGAGCTTGGTCAGCCTATCTAGCATCCCTCCCTTAAAGAACCAACTCTCCCTTCCCAGCAGCCTTCTCAACTAAGGCTGGGGCTTCTTACCCACTAGTCCCCTTCTACGCTGGGTTTTTGTCTGGTTTGAGCTTGCATGGGACTTCTGCATGCTGTCACAACTGCAGTAAGAAAACTGTTTTCCTTACTGTCATCCACCACCCCTGGACTCTTACAATCTTTCTGCCCCCTCTTCCACAATGGTCCCTGAACCCAAAGGGGTAATTTTTTTTTGAGACAGGTTCTCCATGTAGTGCCAGCTGACCTGGCACTAGCTATGTAGAGCAGCTGGCCTTGAACTCACAGAGATCCACCTGCCTCTACATCCCGAGTACTGGGAAAAAAGGTGTGCGCCGCCACACCTGACTCCAAAGTAATTTTTAAACCCCCACACATTACTGCATAATTCTAGGATTGCTGAAAGAAATAAAAGTGATTGAACTGGAGCTGGAGAGATGGTCTTATGGCATAAGCAAGAAGACCTGATTTCTGATCCCTTGTACCCATGTAAAAGCAGGGCACAGCTGTGTGCAGGTTAACCCTGGTGCTGGAGGAGTGAAGACAGGTAGATCCTGGGAGAGAGGGGTTTGCTGTCAGCTGAAATGGCAAGCTCCAGGTTGAGTGAAGGACCTTGTCTCAAAACAATAAGGTGGAAGGTGACAGAGGAATATACCCAGTGTGAACCTTGGCTTCCACATCCACATGCATGTGTAAGGGCACCCATACTCATGCACGCATATCACACACACCAATAAAAAATATGAAAGGTAGAATTAATTTAGTTTCATTAATTTTACTTTGATTTTGTGACACAGGCTTTCATATACTGTAGGCTGGTCCCAAACCTATTATGTAACCAAGTGTGACCTTCAACTCCTGATCCTCCTGCCTTTACCTCCCACATGCTAGGATTATAAACCTGTTTCAGCACTTCGAGCCCCATTACTTTTACTTCATAGAAAAAAATGCATATCTTAACACAAATGTTTGTCTCAAATATCCAGATAATAGCTCAGGTTTTTCCTGTAACTAAGAAGTGTACAATAGTGAAAAAAATTTATCATTTAATTTTTTACCCCTTGTCTCCCCAATTCAGCTCTTCCCATGTCCCCAACTCATTCTCAAATCCATGATCTCTTAATCGTCTTAATATTTTTACACACACATATATACATACATATATAAACACACACACACGTACACATAACCTCCTGAGTGTGTTTAGTGTTGTGCATATGTACATGTGTTTAGGGATGAGACCCCTGCAAATCGAATAGCTCGTCAGGGAGCTCTTCCCTGAAAAAGCCATTCCCTCTCTCAACAGCCATTGATTTCCTGTAGCTCTTTATCTAGGGGTAGGAAATTTCCCCATCCATGTTGGTATGTCAGCTGGCGTTGTCATTATGCAGGTAACTATATCATTTGACAACCATATTGTTTGGATTTCATGGGTGCAGCCTGCCCGTCATGTCTAGAAGACACTATCTAGCAGCAGGTGTCCTGGTCCTCTGGCTCTTACAATTTTTCTGCCACCTCTTCTGTAATTTCCCCTGAGCCTTAGGTGTAGAGGTTCCATTGCAGATGTACGAGTTGGGGCTGGGCACACCGTGATCACTTATTTTCCGCATTTTGATCAATTGTGGATCTCTGTAGCAGCCTCTGTCTGCTACAAAGTGAAACTTCTTTGATAATCATTTTATTTTAGTAATTTAATGTATTTTTCCCACTATTCCATAATGCTTTTGCGTGCTTATGTGAAAATCTTAGTAAAATTGCCTGATAAAAGTGCACCATATTGTTATGAGGTCCTCGCAAGTGGTTCTCTCATATACCTGGTATGAAACATCTCACATAATTAAAATAACAGGGCCAATCAATGACTTTCTTCAGTTTAGAGGTGTCCTTACAAATAACAAGCATTTAATGTGATGTGGCCATTGATCCCCCTTCATTATAATGGTATATATTGTAATGGTACATAATGTAATGGTACATATGGTAATGGTACATATTGTAACGGTATATATTGTAATGGTATATACAAATAATGATGACTTCTAGTAAAACTGTCTTCTTTCCTTTGCAGGGAGCAGCTCAATCTGTATCTTCAAAATGGCCCAAATCGAATTGGAAGAACATACAAGAAGGCTCTTTATGTTCAATACACAGATGGAACCTTTAAGAAGACTGTGGACAAACCGGTTTGGCTAGGGTTTTTGGGCCCTATTATCAAAGCTGAAGTTGGAGATAAGGTTTATGTTCACATAAAAAACTTTGCCTCTAGGCCCTACACTTTCCATCCACATGGTGTAACTTACTATAAGGAACATGAGGGTAAGTTCAGCATGTGTTTGTTGCAGTTGGAGTTTCTTCCTTTCAGTAGGAAAAATTCCAATTTCTGAGACTGATAGCTCGCTTCCTGGATCAAACCTGTGCCCATCTCGTTATGTGCTAAGCTGTTTTATTAACAGGGATCTTGGCTCATCACAGCAGTGCTGTGTTTCTCCTGCTCGTGATTTTCTGTGGCGGTAACAGCATACAGGTCTAAATGTTGAAAGCCAGAGCAGAAGCGCCGCCCCCGCGGTACCCGTTTCCTTTCCCAATAGCCCAAATACGGCAAATGGACAGTGTGCCTCCCAGGCTAGAACAGGCATAAATCCAGAGGGAGGAGAATGTCTCAGAGTACGGATTGTCTTACCTTTAGTGTTTGCAGTGCTCATACTGGAGCTATCACCTTCCGACCTAACTTTATATAAACTCCATCCCAGCTAAGCTGCATGAATAATCTGAAACAGCGCCTGTCACCTGATGGTGAAAGGAGAGAACAGACTCCTCCATTTGTGCACCATGGCATATGCATGATCATGTGCACATGTGTATACACACAGACAGACAGACACACACGCACACTAAATAACTGAATAAATGTAAAATAAATAATTTTTTTAAAGGTGTTGTTTTAGAAAGTGAATATTAGATGTGTGTCTTTTTCTGGAGAGACATGGACATTGAAGATAGACTAGAGAAATGATTCTACGTAAGTTTAGTATGGTGAACCAATTAATTTGAGTTTACTTGCATGAACATGGCAATTTACAGGCAGTTACACCAAAGGAGAGGACCTCATACACCCTAGGGGAGGGGCAGGGCCTCCCTGAAATATTGTCTTGAGAGCCACCTCAGGACTCCTCACTTCCTTCCATTAGGGCCTTTGGTAGGTCCAATCTTATGAGTCTCCTGTGGGTAATCAAAGCTGCTGATTTCAAAATGGCAGTGGCCGTGTCCTGTCTGGAAGATAGAGTTCCACATCAGAGCATATCTTTTTTGTTTCTCTGAACAAGCCAGTTATATTACTAGTATAACTGATCATCATCTTTTTTTCTTTTTTATAGAGCCATGGTATATTAGAGAATTAACATTAACTTTTTAAATTACAATAGTAGCATTGTGATTTTGTGAAAAGATAAAGTTCTTATCTTTTAAAAATATGTACTCAGATATTTATTAAATATGATATCTGCATTCTTCTTTAAAATAGTTTCGTATGACTGGGGTTAAAAGTGAGCAGGGTCATGTAAAAAAACAAGATTGGCCTTGAATTTACAACTTGTTAAAGTTGGGTTGATAGGTGTGTTGGAAGACAGCTTCTAGAAGAATATAGAGGTTAATCTCAACTTCTGCCTGTTGGAAAATTTCCAGATTAAGTGTAAAAAAAATTCAAGTTATATCCTTACTACACAAGAAAAAAACTGATGCCCTATAAGAAGTTTCAAATTATATGAGAAGTCACTATTTTGCTCATACCCCTAGACCATGACTCCAAGGTCAAAGTTTTCCTCTAATTGTAAATGAAAAGTCATGATCCTCCTGACATATCTATTATGTATGACACAGTCAATTACAAATAATAGGAATAATAATTTCTGTGAGGCTTCTGGGCCCCCTAGACATTAACCTCTTATTTCTCTGTGTTCAAATAGGGCGTAACTGAATGTCCAAAGGGTTCCTATTAAATGTTGAGGACTATCTATTTCATCAAATAAGCGTAAACACATTCACTTTTTAACTCTAGTGTGTGCCGCTTTCTAGGGGCCATCTACCCTGATAATACCACCAGTTTTCAAAGATCAGATGACAAAGTGCTTCCAGGAGAACAATATATGTATGTGTTACATGCCACCGAAGAGCAAAGTCCTGGTGAGGCGGACAGCAACTGCGTGACTAGGATTTACCACTCCCACATTGATGCCCCAAAAGACATTGCTTCAGGACTCATTGGGCCTTTAATACTCTGTAAAAAAGGTATTTTTTCCATTGCTTTTAACATAGGAGACAGGTACAAGGCAGTTTGTTTTTTATTACTTTTTAATATTTTATTATTTTTATATTTTATGTATATGAGTGTATTACTTGCATGTATATGAGTGCACCCACGTTGTGCAATGCCTGCAGAGGTCAGAAGAGGGCATTGAATTCCCCTGAAACTGGAGTTTCGGATGGCTGTTAGCCACCATGTGGGTCTTCTGCAAGAGTAGCCAGTGCTCTTAACAACTGAGCCATCTCTGCAGCCCTGTTTGTTTTTGGTTTTGTTTTTAATTATAAGTTATTCTGTATTGAAATTGAGAGTAGAAAAGGAGGAAGGAAAACACAGGGCAGGACTAGATGATATACAAACAGAACAAGTCTTTATGGGGAACACCAGTGAAACTAAGCTGCTTGAAGTGCTCTGTGGGATAAGTTTGCTCGGTATAACCACAACAACAGTGTTCTATGGAGACACAAGACTTTACCATACATGACTGCCTTAATGACCATGGTGATGTCTATAGTTACTGGTATTATGTTGGTAAATATAATAAAGTGTTTATTTCTAATGTCATGAAAATAGCAACATAACTCAAGAGTTTGAAATGTAATGCTAATTTGACCAATAGCTACCTGCAGAACATTCCTGTGTCTGTTTGTGGCTATATGGGCCAGAAGATGTGGACACATTTAAATTCCAGCCATCTCATTGACCAAAAAGTACGTAAAGCCTTTGAGGTCAGCGAATATACAGATACATGAGTAAATTCCCGACTGTTTCCATAAAATAGGAGCAGCTGGTCCAGATTTGTGATTTACTAAAAAAAGTACTAAATAAAAAAGTTTAATCACCTGAAAACATAAGTCAAATTACATGCTAAAAATTCAGATCTACTAAACTATAAACTTCTACATCAGGTTCTCTAGATAATGAAAAAGAAAAAAATATTGACCAAGAATTTGTGGTAATGTTTTCTGTGGTGGATGAAAACCTCAGCTGGTATCTAGAAGACAACGTTAAAGCCTTCTGCTCTGAGCCAGAGAAAGTTGATGTAGAGAACGAAGAGTTCCAGGAGAGCAACAGGATGCATTGTAAGTTTACAAAAGGCAAGGTTTTTGTTTTGTTTTGATTTTGTTTTTTTTTTGTCTTAGTAACTCTGCTAAAGCTTATTCCCTCACATGAATAAGTGATGTGTTGCTAGTCTGGGACCTGATAACAAACATATATTGACTTGCAACTTGTCATCCATCAAAACAGATAAAAACCAAAACACTAAATCAGATAAGCTAGACACAAAAAATGTATTCCTAATTGATAAGGATAAATCATCAATTGAAGTTGGTTACACTTACATTTTGATTTGTCCTCCAAATTCATTCTAGAAATTATTTGAAGCAGTCAATTAAAACTTGGATTAAATGCTTAAAGTGATACTTAAACTATAATGTAACTATATTTAGTAACATCATTCAAGTTTAAGATTTTCCTTATTTCTTAGGTACAAAGAAACATGATGAAATTAAATTATCTATCCTTCAGGATTTGCATGAGAAATTAAATACCTTAACATTAATTACCAGGAAGTATAGATTTTTGTTTGTGTTTAGCTTCTTCAAAATAATCTTTACTTGGAAGCTGAGAAAAATAACTGCTCCTCCAAATTAGAAAATAAATAAAAATTGTTTCTAACTTTCCATCTGAAAGCTGCTTCTTGTTTCCACCTGATGTAAAGATCTGTTTTCTGTGCGCTTCAGTCTTGCCTCTGTTATTCTGCAAATAAAAATAGATGTTAGAAGAAGAGACCCAAACCCTGGATAAGTCCAGACAGGCATGGTTTGGTGACACTGTTACATTTGGCATATTCATGGTTCTTACCATAGCTGTTTCTACCCATGAAATTTCTAGGACTGCGCAGTTTGAAGAAGGACCCTAAGTTTCTTCCAACGATCTCAGGCCAAACTGCTTTTGACCTTTGAGGTCTTCCTGGGTCTAGAACTCGGCCCTTGCTGTTCTTTCCCTCGATTTCTTTCCCCTTCTTATTTCTTCAGATTGTCTTCCAAATTTTAAAATGTTTTACCTTGTTTTCATCATTGCAAAAGGAATTCATAGAAGTTGGAAAAGTTCTAAGCAAAAAGAAGAAATTTGAATAATCTCTCTTATGCCTATCAATATGGTTAATAACTGACGAAATAGCCTTCCGTCTTTTATCTTTAAGTGTATATTTTGAATACACGTATATGGACACATCAGTATTTACAAACACATATACATAAAGCCAATGTGTATAGTTTGTAATCATTAAGAGACCAAATAAATTTCATCTCCAGTGTTGTGTTCATTTTCAATATGATATTGGTAATGATCTTGGCCTGAATTAAGGTCCAAAAATGAAGGAGTTATGTGATTGATTAGCAATGTCTGACATGGATATGGGAGGGAGAAATAGCTGTCTGTGTGTTTGATATTTTCTATATCAAATTGATTCTATTTTTGCAGAGGTAACTATTGCTATGCCAGGTACCAATATCTATTAGTCAAAAACTCTAATCTTGGCTTGCAGCTGTGAATGGATACGCTTTTGGAAGTCTTCCAGGACTTTCCATGTGCGCAGAAGACAGGGTGAAATGGTATCTTTTTGGTATGGGTAATGAAGTTGATGTGCATGCAGCTGTCTTTCACGGTCAGGCACTGACCAACAAGAACTACCGTACCGATGCAATCAATCTCTTCCCGGCTACCCTATTTGATGCTTTTATGGTGGCCCAGAATCCTGGTGTCTGGATGCTCAGCTGCCAGAATCTAAACCACCTGAAAGGTAAGACTTTACCCAAATTTAGCTGTCAGTCGTAAACAGAGCTGTGCCTTAGTTACTCTGCTAGTTGGAGATGACTATTGGGAATCAGAACTAAAACTATCTGTGGAACAACCTGAACTTTGGATTATTGTTATTTTATCTCCATAATGGTATAACAAAAAGAAGGTTAGCCTGGAATATTTATAAGTAATAAGATCTGAAAATATATTAATGCCTGGAATAGAGT